AACCAAAATTTGAGATAAACTATTGTAATTTAGTGATGTCAGTCTTTCCCACATTTAACAAATAACTTTTAGAATATATAACAAATAATATACCATTCTTACCCTCTTTCTTACTAGAATTCCCAATTTCACGCTGACAGTGAGGAGCTGTTCTGTCTCCTGTTTTTTACTGGCACTTTCACTTCCTCGACCTGCCTTTTTTCTTGACACCCTTCCAAATGACCCTTCCTCACAGATGATGGAGGAGGTATCAGGTTACTACTTAAGGATGCAGACTTCTTTTGCAAATATTTCTGGTTAGAACTTTTACTTGTTTGTTTGTCTTTCTCTACAGAACTCTGTGTGTAATGCTTGTCTTCTTTCTTTATCTCACTTGCTTTTTCTTTGCTTTAAATTCATCTCTAGCTTTTGCAATGCTTATGTCTTCGTCCCCTTCACCTTCTGAACTGGATACTGACTGACCCTTCTCAGGCTGAACTGGTTTTTCATCATTAAATATCTGGCTCATTTGCCTTAGTATATTGATCTTGTCATTATGCAACATTATATCTAATGATCTTTTGGCTAAGCTTGCACTACTGTACACAGGTCGTGAAGTGAGAGGTTTATCACATGAAGCTGGCAATGACTTCTTTTTTAGAGGTGCTGACCACCTTCCCTCCTTCACTACTACCTGATGAATAAGAGTGATCTAAAGCTACCTTTCCTTCTGGGGAGAGAGCTTCTTTCTTTGTAGAACACTGGGGTTCAGGAGACTTTGTTCTCTCCTCTTCACTACTGGATCCTAGCTCTTCATTTGCCATCAAATCCATCTCCTCTGGAAGATGACCAACCATCATTGATTGAGAACTTGGATCTTCCAGCTCTCCTCCAACCACCACTTCTTGAGTTTCAATGTCTGTGTAATCTATTACTGGATACTTTTGACCCAGGGAATTACCGGGAATGAGAAAATGATCTTGTCCAGATATCTCACCGACTTTGATAAAAGCTTTGGGTAGAACACTAGCTTTATCTCCCTTAAGCAGGATGGTTTTCATACTTGATCCCGATTCAGCAGTCTTGACTCTACCAGTCAAGGAACTTAATTCAGTATTCTGCATTCTAATATTGAATTTTCCACCAGCCAAACTTGGCTTCTGACTTTTGCTTGCCATAGTAAATGAAATAATATCTGATACTCTAACCATCAAAGGGGATCCCTTTGCGGCTTGTTCCTTCTCGCCTTTCACTGGGAGTGAAGTGCTAAGTTTAAATGCCTCATTAGATTTCAGTAGATGTTTGCTTCCTTCACTAACCTCTGACTCTTTACTATCTCTTGAATCTAATTTGGAATCCATGCTCCTTGTCTCTGTAATATTCTTTTCTTTACAGAAGGGTCTTTTTCATTTGGAAGGACATCTGAACCCTTACTAATATCTGTTTTTTGTGTTTTTCTAGTACCTTTACTCTTTGATGTTACTGTTTCTGTTTTGACATTTTTTTGTGAACATGAACCTGCCATTTCTGTGGTTTCTTTGTCTTCTATACAAGTCATAAGTTCCTCCTTGCTCTCCAGAGAGTTTTCACTGGATGATGAAGCCAATTTCATGAAAGCTCGGGTTTTGGCTTTATCTTCAAGAAAGTTCCGAGATTTGCGACTCTTTGGCATTGCTTTGGAAGGTTTGTCTTCTTGATCAGAATTTGACATAATGACAATGGGTATCTTATCACTTGCCATGTTATCAGGTACTTTCTGTAACACAGAATCAAGATTCAAGTAATCTACTGATGCTTCATGATCAACTTGAATACCCTGCGGCATTTTAACTGGAGAGAGCTGTGATTCATCAATGGAAGAGGTGGACTCACTGCTGTGACCTCTTCTTCTCCCTCTTCGCCTCCTGCCATCCTCACTTTCAGAGCCATCCTCCTCACTCACTGGGGTGGAGGTTCTCTCCTGTTTAAGGATCTTATCTCCTACTATATTCTTAAGCATAATTCGCTTCTTTAGTTTAACTTCAACAGATGTCTTTGGTGTTTCCTGTTTGACCAAGACTGGAGACTTGCTCTGGTCCTTTAACTGGAGTCCCTGGGCTAATCTCTTTAAGGATTCTGGTGTTCTAATACTTTTAATTTTCTCTTTTACTCTCTTTTTTCTGGACAGCTTTGACATCTTTCTTTCCTTTTGTTTGAGATGCATTTATCTTTTTACTTATTCAATAGTTTTAGGATCAGCAGGCACACGTGTCCGTCTCCTGGTAGCAATAGTTTCAGACTCAAGAGTAGGAGGCTCACTGTAATTCTGCGCTCTCCCTCTGCCTTCTTTCAGGAAGAGGATGAGGTCAGGTGGTGAATCACTTTTGCAGTCCACACCACGTCCTGACTTGGGAGTGGATCTTTTGCTGCTTACTTCTGGTGTTGAAACTTTATTTCTTTCCATGGTCTTTTGTTGGGATTGCATTTCTTCCCTGGTGTCTAACTTATCAAAATCTTCAAAGCAACTAATACTGTCTATGTCAGATTCATTCTCCACAGAGTTATCTGCACTCTCTGATTTACTAACATCCTTGCTGGTTGAAGGCTCAATATCCCTATCTTGAGTTCTTGCACTTTTCAGTACTGGCATTGTTAATTTTTCCTTAGATGTATTAGCTTTTGTTAAAACACCTGACTTTTCAGCCTCATCTTTATCTTCGGCCTTTACACCCACTTCAGCTTTTCCAGAAACTGATACACTAGCTGACCCAGAATTCTTCTTGGATTTCATTGTTTTCTTGGTTTGCGTAATGCCCTTCTTGAGTTGCTTCTCTTTTGCACTTTCCTGGTTCTTACTGGACAATTTTGTGTGAGCTGGGGAGGTAGAGGTGTCACCCTCTGGCTTGGACTTGTGACCTGAACCCCCATCTGACATTTTGACCTCCCTAAGGAGTCTTGGGGTTCGGTGACCAGAGGGCGACCCGGTCACTTTCCGACTCAGGAGCTTGACGTATTCTCGGATGTTCTCTCTGCTCCTTTCTGTGGACCGCCTCTGCCTTCCAGGGCTTCCATCTGAGCTGGGCTCACTCATTGTACATATTCTTGCATCTGTAAATAAAAAAGGTTAGATGAAATCTTATAATTCTAGATCTCTTTATCTATTTAAAATAATTTTCAATGTGATCTTTAATTTTAGTAAAATTGTTACATTTGTAATCTCTAATATAACTGTTATTACCATTTTCAATATTTGCTTGGGATAATATAATGATAAAAATAATAATACAAACTATATATTGATAATAACACGTATCATAACAATGGCAATGATTATAATAATAAAAAAGATAATAATGGTAATAGCAACGAGGACAATGATGACGATGATGGTGATAACAAAAACAACAAAGATGATAACGATGATGATGACTGTACCAGAGGTAACCCAGCTCTCACTATATCATATGCCTTTATGTAAGAAAATCCTTTCTTCACCTTCTATGTTACTACTAATATCTTTAGGATTTATAATGGATGATTTCTTAGTATTTTTAGATTAATAGCAGATTAGTACTGCAATTTTATGATCTAGTAATCATCTCCATAGTTTGAATAAACTAGGACAAGTTGCCTGCCACTGCTAAGGTGCACCAGAACACCTAAGGTACACCTGCAAGTTGCAACAAAGGAGCCAAGAGAAACACACACACACACTGACACTCAAGACATTCTCACAGGCAGCGAGAGGTTAAGACAGGTGAATGTAAGCTGCCGTTTTTTTCCTTTCCTGAAATATGGTGGAGAAAAGCGCATTGTGGTTACATTTGTGACTGGACACCAGTGAAGCAACTTAAGAGCATGAACACTGTCTTTTAGACCACATTGTGATTGTACAGATAATCATCTTTGGAGAGGTTCCTACAACTAGAACCATAACAAATATAATAATGATAATGATGATAGTCATAGTAATAGTAATAGTAGTAGTAATAGTAATGGTGGTAATAATAATAATAATGAAAATAAAAATAATAATAATAAAATAATAATAATAATAATTATTATTATTATTATTATTATTATTATAATAAAACATATAATAATAATTATAATAATAATTATAATAAAAAATATAATAATAATTATAATAATAATCATTATTATAGTAATAATAATTATAGTAATAGCAATAACAATAACAATAATGATGATAATAATGATAATAATAATAATAATAAAAAATAAATAATAAATCAAAAAATAATAATAATAATAATAATAATGATAATGATAATGATAATGATAATGATAATGATAATGATAATGATAATGATAATAATAATGATAATAATAATAATAATAATAATAATAATAATAATAATAATAATAATAATAGTAATAATAATAATAGTAATAGTAATAATAATTGTAACAGTAATAGTAATAGTAATAATAATAATAATAATAGTTATAATAACAACAATAATAATAATAATAATAATAATAATAATAATAATAATAATAATAATAATAATAATAGCAATAGCAATAGCAATAGCAATAACACTAACACTAACACTAAAAACAACAATAATAACAATAATAATAATAATAATAATAATAATAATAATAATAATAATAATAATAATAATAATAATAATAATAATAGTTGTTGTTGTCATCAGTACCATTATCATTAACTATTATTATTATTATCAATCATTATTATTATTATCATTATTATTACTAATACTATTATTATCATCATATTATTTTCATTGTTGTTATTGTTACTACTATTAGCCCTATTATTATAATCATTATCATCATTCTTCTTCTTCAAAGCATGTAGTGAGACCATCAGTTTATGCACATTTATTATTTACATGACTACTCGAGGGGGGAGGTTGAGAAGGAAGGTGGGAGAGAAAGAGAAAGGGAGGGGGAGAGGAAGAAAGGGAGGGGGAGAGGAAGAAAGGGAGGGGGAGAGGAAGAAAGGGAGGGGGAGAGGAAGAAAGGGAGGGGGAGAGGAAGAAAGGTAGGGGGAGAGGAAGAAAGGGAGGGGAAGGGGACATAAAGAGAAAAATGAGTTGGGAAATGGGGAAACTGAGGGGAAATAGAGAGAACTTCACAAAGAAAAGGGGATGAGTAAGGGAAGGGAAGAATGAGGAAGAGGAGTGACGTGGAAGCAGGCAGATGTAGAGGGGGGTGATAAACTGGAAGAGGAAAAGGGAGAGGTGAAGCAAAAGGCAGAAGGGTGAAAGAGGCAGAAAGGAGTTCCTTTTCTCTTTTTTGTTCTGCGAAATTTCCATCTGTCCTACTAGTTATCATCATCACCAATAACATCACCAATAATAACTATCCTTATCCTTATCCTTATTATTATTATTATTATTATTATTATTATTATTATTATTATTATTATTATTATTATTATTATTATTATTATTATCATTATTATCATTAAGACTTATCATTATATCATCATTACTATCATAACCTTCATTATCATAAACTATCAACATCACTATCATTTTTCTTTTATTTATTATCATTATTAACATTATGATTTTCATCATCATTATTATTATTATTATCATAAATACCATTATCATCAGTATATTTATTAGTGATATGACAATTATTAATAATAACAATAATAACATACACAATATAATAATAATATTAATACTTTCTACACAATATAATAATAATATCAATCTTTCAAACAATATTACCATTATAATCAGTATCTAGCTGATGATGATAATAACAGATTATATTACTTTTAGGGCCCCATAGGTCCCTTGGGGCGCTACCTTATATTTCATTAGTTCTGCTCAAAAATATATATACATATGACAAAAAAAAAAAAAAAAATGTTATCATTTACCTGTGCAGAAAAAAGTAAACTAAACATCAATAAAGTCTGAATAGAGAATCCATTTCTTCTGTCTAAAGATTATATTCTCATCTATTGAGCTATTCATGGTACCAATATCATTTAACAAGTTATTCAATATTCTATATACAATTCAATTTATTTGATCATTTATTTTAGTCAACTACGTAAATGAAATCAGGCACCAACGTTAAAAATTACCCTCAGCCTCATTATCCCTAAAGCAATCCATGATCTGAGCACTAAGGTAATAAGATGTAAAGTTTATTCAATCAAAGCCTGTGACAAAATCATTGGGTGCTGGCAGGATTTTACTACATTTTATTCCTTTAATTCTTTAATTGGACATATTTCAAAAGACTAATGCTATCCAACCTGCAGTTTAATTTTTGCCACAATAACAAGAGCTCTTAGTCTTTAATGCTCCGACAGAGCATATAACAAGAGTGAGCTAATTTATGGACAGCCAACTTATTAAGAGGCCACAGCTCCTAATAAAAATAATTTGGCATATCCCTGAGCATCATATATTTCTAACATTCACAGAATACATTAATAATAAAGTAGCAAAAGTTTATCAACAGAATGACCCCTAGTCAAAGTAAATTCTTGTCCTCCAGCATGGCAATCTTTAAAACAATTCATCCGCAAACAAATCTTAATTTCCTCATAACCCTTCTGCTTCAAGTAATACAATGCAGATTACCTTTATTAGTAGTTCTGGGTAAAACAAACTTCTTTTTTTTTAATTATGCTTATATTTAAAGCCTAAGCTACTATTCAACATATAAAATAATCTTTAAGAAAATCATAATTCATTCTTTTCCTAGTCTTCATCATGTATTTGTTTTTAATGTTTATATTTTAGAAAAGAAAAAGAAAAAACACATGATCCAATCTCTGACACAGTTATCAAAACATAAATGGGAATATATACAAGCTCATTAACAAATAATAACTCATTAGATTAAGTTAACATAGATTCATTACACATGATGAAACCTGCAAATTCTATATCAGTACATAGCTATCATTCTCATAATGACAAAATCTACACAACAGCAATATAAAAATAGATGATGATGATAATGATGATGATGATACCATTAGCATTACCATAACAACAATCATCATCACTATCACCATAACTACAAATATCATCATCAACAGAAAGATGACATATACCACTGCATTCACCATGATAGGATGCCTTTATGTCCAGCAAAATCCATAAATATACAGTCATATAATGCACAAATGTGTGTGTGTGTGTGTGTGTGTGTGTGTGTGTGTGTGTGTGTGTGGTGTGTGTGTGTGTGTGTGTGTGTGTGTGTGTGTGTGTGTGTGTGCAAGTGTGTGTATTTGTGCATTTGTGTGTCTATTGGTGTATGTGTGTCTAATTGCATGTGGGGGGAGGGATTTTTTTTTTGTGGGGGGGGGGGGGGGTATTTGTGTGTGCATGGGGGGGGGGGGGTATCTGTGTGTGTGTGTGTGTGTGTGTGTGTGTGTGTGTGTGTGTGTGTGTGTGTGTGTGTGTGTGTGTGTGTGTGTGTGTGTGTGTGTATTTGTGTGTGTGTATTTGTGTGTGTGTGTATTTGAGTGTGTGTGTATTTGAGTGTGTGTGTATTTGAGTGTGTGTGTATTTGAGTGTGTGTGTATTTGTGTGTGTGTGTATTTGTGTGTATGTGTATTTGTGTGTATGTGTATTTGTGTGTATGTGTATTTGTGTGTATGTGTATTTGTGTGTATGTGTATTTGTGTGTATGTGTTTTTGTGTTTGTGTATTTGTGTTTGTGTATTTGTGTTTGTCTGTGTATATTTGTGTATTTGTATATTTGTGTATATGTGTATTTGTGTGTATGTGTATTTGTGTGTATGTGTATTTGTGTGTATGTGTTTGTGTGTGTATTTGTGTTTGTCTGTGCATTTGTGTTTGTCTGTGCATTTGTGTTTGATTGTGTATTTGTGTTTGTCTATGTATTTGTGTTTGTACATGCATTTGTGTTTGTGTGTGTATTTATGTCTGTATGTGTATGTGTTTGCATGTATATTTGTGTCTGTGTGTGTATTTGTATTTGTGTGTATGTGTGTTTGAGTGTGAGTGTATGTATGTGTAAGTGTATGTGTATGTGTATGTGTATGTGTATGTGTATGTGTATGTGTATGTGTATGTGTATGTGTATGTGTATGTGTATATGTATGTGTATGTTCATGTGAATGTGTACATGTATGTGCATGTGTATGTGCATGTGCATGTGTGTGTGTGTGTAAACCACAATAAGCTAATGAATAGATGACTGGTATTTTTCTAAAGGACCAATAGTATGTCACACCTCTAACAGTCCCAGAAATATTTGGCAATGTGGATATTATCCAGTTCAAAAGTAAATACTAATAAGTAAAACCATTTGTAAAGTGAAGCTAATGTCCAATTAAAATGAACATCATTTAATAATAACTTACATTAAGCAATGCATGATAACAGAATGTGTGACAACAGATAAGCAACTCAAGAAACACAACTCTACAAAACCAGCCATTTCATTAAACCAGTAATGCTGATTGCACGTCTCATTCTTGCAATGGCAACAACAGATAGCAACCTACCCAACACCATTACTTCTGACAAAAAAAACTAAATGCCCATTATGTAACACGGTTGAAAAGTAATCACTCCTGAACAAT